TTGCCCAGGGTCACACAGCTTGTAAGTGTCAAGTGTCTGAGGTTGGATTTGAACTCAGGTCCTCCTGACTCCAAGGCCAGAGTTGTGTCCACTGCACCACCTAGCTGCCCCTAGGATCTACATTTTAAACGCAGGTACCTAGTAGCCCTTGAAAACTGAGATTTTGATTTTGTGGTAGGAAATTCAGGTTTGATTTGGTTGAAATTTGTCCTGGAACCAAATTATGACATGGTGAAATGTCTTCTATTAATTGTCGCATCAAAAGCAAAATAAAAAGTTGGAAAAAATGAATGGATCAGGGAAACCCAAGTTACATCCTGGTCTCAGAAATTTATTAGCTGTGTGATCTTAAGCAAGTAATTTTACTTCGGTTTGCCTCTGTTTCTTAATTTATAAAGGGATGGGATTAGCACCTGCCTCCCAGGGTCATTGTGAGGATTAAATGATATAATAAATTTGAAGTGCTTAAGACAGTACCTGGCATTATTTAAATTTTTGTTATTGTCATTATTACTTCTTTAACTGAATGTAACTGCTACATACTAGATAAATCTATAGCGGGTTTCAGAAGCCAAAAGTGACCAAATGAATGATTTTTCCATGTGAGACAGCTTGGTAGTACATTTGACTAAATTGATATCATATAAGAATATTTCTTACATGCTTGAAATACATAGTTAATTGTGTTTCTAACACTTTTTTCTTATATTGTGAAATTTAAGAAACTATTTTCAGAAATGATATGTTAGACAAAAAAGTTCTCTTAATCTGATGCTGTTAGATTATAAATTGAGTTGTTAAAAGAATGCAATTTTTAAAATAGACATTTGAAAACTGTTAAATATTTGATGGGGCATATTTTGCTTTAAAATAGAAAATAATAATAATAATAACTGTCTGGGAGAAGAGTTGCACAGACCCTCTAAGATATCCTTATCTGTGAGGTCCCTTGAGACATTGTATTCAGTCTGGTGCATAGCAAATTATCAGCCCTGCTGAATTCATGTCATAAAAATCTAAAGTACTAACTTTTTTTTCTTTTTAGGCAATTGGGGTTAAGTGACTTGCCCAGGGTCACACAGCTAGTGTCAAATGTTTGGTCTGAGGCTGGATTTGAACTCAGGTCCTCCTGACTTCAGGACCAGTGCTCTATCCACTGCACCACCTAGCCTGCCCCTGTAAAGTACTAACTTTTGAGAACCTACAGCTAAGAAAATAGGGTCACCTTTCCCATGCTGTGTCAAAAGGAGGAAATTTACAAGTCTGTTATAATAAGTAGCGAGTTTTAATCTGAATTTATTTGGCTTTCACATGTAAAATTATAATTTTTTTTCTGAACAATCTGTGATGAAGTTACATATTTGAGCCAACTTGATAATGGTGGACTTTGGATTCAAGGATTTTAAGATACGGTCTTTGAATCTGAGGTCTATTGTTACTAAGTGAATTTTTGGTTAAGTACCATATAGTCACCTCATGTGTAATTTAAAGAACTCCAGAATGTGGTTATTTTCAATTTATAAGCAAAGGATAAATGAAATGTAACTGTTAGGAGATCATAAGAAAACTACTAATATTCAAGCACTAAACTGTGATTAGTGACCTTTTTCTATCTGAGGTAAAAACTCTTAGGACTCTAAGTTGATAGTTTTAAGTTTTGATTATTTTGATGGCTGTCTGTATTGTCATGAAGCCAATAATCCACCATTCAAGTTAAAAATATCATGTACCACAGTCTGAGAATTGCCTGGGAAAAGTTGAGGAGATGAGCTTGTCATGGCCTGAAATAGGATCTTCTTGACTCAATTTCCCCATGGTACTATTTCTTTCTGAACAGAAAAATTTCCCACCTGGTTAATTCTGAGCCTGGCTATGATACCCTGGGAGTAATGTGGAGCTTTGTTATTGATTGGCTATTAAATACTATTTGTGCCTGGAATGAAACAAAGCTAAGGGAGCTTCTCCTCTGTTGTGGTACATGTTAGGCGAGAAGATTAAGATTGATCCTATATCATTTTGTTATTGATCCAATTTACAATTAATTGATTTTGTCCTGGGTAAGTCATGATTCTTTGTCTCTGAACTTGGTTCAGAGTTCAGCTGGACTATGACGGGTTGAATTTAAAAATCCAGATCTCCTACCTCAATTAATTTAATGTGTGAGAATGCAAGGGAGTTTGGGCCTGATATCTTTACTAGCCAAAAGTCTGGGCTGTTATTTTCTAGCTCAACTCAAAAATGAGCACTTTTTAATCTCATGAGAGAAGAAGGAGGGGGAGTCTTTGTTAGCCCCCATTACCAAACTTCCAACCCACCATGTTGTTCCCTATGCCTCAGCTTTGCCAACAGTTACGGTGTCCTTGATGTCTGTTCTACCCTGTTCTGTTCTTTGTTCTGTACTCCCAAAAACATGTTAAAAAAAGGGAATAGTTCATCTACTCAAGGTCTTTGGCATGAATGGAGGCAAACTATTGATCCATTTATTGGCAGGTAGCAACCCTTGCTAATAAATGTTACCTGGCTTAGAGACTTGCCTCAATTTACCTTTTTATTAAATTTCAATAGCAACACAGGTCAGTATGTACCTTGAGAAAATAGTCTTTCCATTGTTATAACTATATTCTTTGTTTTTCCTTTCATAGCAAATTCCTATAAACATCTATGAACTGTAAAAGGTTTGCTGTTGAACTACTGTCTCAATTAATAGACCAGTAATGACATATTTGAGTTCCTGTTATAATATAGGGATAACATCCTTCCAAGTTGGGAATTAGAATTAGATAAAGTGATAAGACAAAGATGTAATATAAAAGTTTTTTAATTAAATGGAATAGTAAATTTTGAGGAAGCAGCAAGATTATCCTAAGAATTAGGATATATACGTATGTATATGATTGGCTTCAAAAGGTTTCTAATGAGAAATTCAGGCTTGGAGTATGTTTGAGTAACAAGTTCTCAAAATTGGATTAAGGATTTGACATATAAAATTGCATTGATAATTGTAAAGAAAGTGAAATTATTTTCCCATTTTGAAGTATCTATCTGATTATTTTAAAAGATAGAAGGGCTCATTTTGTAAGTCAGACCCTCATGAATTTTTTTTAAGATTCTAAATCAGGTACAAGATTTAGGTAAACAAACAGCAAGTGATACATAAAAACTGAAATTCTCTGAAGTTTCAGGTGAATTATGGATTCTTAATTTGATGTTCTTTTTATAGCTCTGTAATTAATAGGAATAGAACAATAATGCTTGAGCTGATTTTCATCACATGAAGTAGTTATTGGAAAATCAAATTTAAGAGATTGAGCTAAATTATATTGACTTGTTACTGGCAAATTTTAGCAGAATTATCTAGGAATTTCCGTAAGTAACTAGGAACCAGAGAACTAGAACTGTCTTGAGAATGAGACCTATTCTAGAATGCCCAACAGAAGATATTTCCAGGGACCAAACAAGTGCATGGGACATCTGGGACTCAAGATGAAATGATTAAATGGACATTAGGAGTGGGTTACTAAGATGTGATGTTATTTAATATTGGTGAACAGCATTGTATTGCTTTGACCCTTTGTTTCAGAGTGTTTATGTTTCCTACATTTTCTTGTTTACTTGGTGACATGTAAATCTTCTCTCTCAAAATTAGTCCATTATGAGCCCTCTAAACAATTTGGTCTGCACCCTGACTTAGTTCCTTTAATTAAGAGTTTCTTTAACAAGGTTTGTCTCCTTAGGAGATATCATTCTTGTTCTTAGACTTTATATTAGCTTTTGCATTAAGGTATGCAAGAGGATGCTTCCCAGTGGTCTTTTCTTAGTACATAATGTTAATAGCGAGCATGAGCACATTAAAAAATCTTATAAATAAGTGATAATCTTATAAATAAGGGAGTCAGCTGGGCCCCTCCCCCATGAATCAAGGGGAGGATCATGTGAACCAAACTGACACCATCTTGTAAAACTGACTCATTTTGGTTTTAGGCAGTTGGGGTTAAGTGACTTGCCCAGAGTCACACAATGTGTCAAGTGTTTGGTCTGAGGCCAGATTTGAACTCAGGTCCTCCTGACTCCAGGGCTAGTGCTCTATCCACTGCGCCACCTAGCCACCCCAAAACTGACTCATTTTGAGACTTAAGTTTCATTCCACCTGCTTGTTAATCATGGAAATTAAGTAACATCCTCTTTTACATCCTATAAAGTCCATCTGTTCATTCTCCCCACTCCCAATTCCCCAAACTCCCAAAATCCCTCCCCAGCTCAGAAAGTCCCTAACTTTACTTCCAAAGAGCAGCAACCCAGTTCCTGACTCTGAGCCCTTCTCTTTAATCACTTCACCATACTACTTTTCCATCTGATCCATAACCTTCTTAATATGGTACCTAGCAGTAGGCATAATGCTCTAGATTAAGGATTCTTAACCTGGTGGGTCATGAATTTGTTTTTGAAAAATATGTTGATAACTCTATCTTAATATCATTGCTTTCTTTTGTAATCATATGTATTTTATTTTGTGCATTTGAGAATTGTTTTTTGAGAAGAGTTCTGAAGGCTTCACCAGACTGCCACAGAGATCCATGACACAAAAGATATTAAATTCTCCTATTTTAAATATAGTTAGACCAGGACATGGCATGAAACACTGTTATAATAATTAGCTCATTTTAAGCCTCATGACAATATAATGCCCTCTCAGGTCCATGAGATTTCCTCTTCTACTGCTTTATGAGGGGTAGATTTAGGAAGATATAAATTCATATTTGACCTCAGACACTTACTGGCTGTGTAACCCTGGGCAAGTCACTTTACTCCTATTTGCATCAGTTTCTTCATCTGTAAAATGGGGATAATAATAGCACCTAACTCCCAGGATGGTTGTGTGGATCAAATAAATTAATACATGAAAAGTGGTTCGTATAGTAGGCACTCAATAAATGTTTGTTTACTTTCATTCTTTGCTTTCCATAAAAATGGTCTGAAACAGGCTAACGTAGGTGACGTACCTCTATGCCATTCAGTCCAAGTTCCAAGGATTGGATTCTTCCTCCTAATTTTTCTCACTGCCTCTGATGTTCCTTTCGTGGCTACAATGTAGCATTGTGCCTGACACCATGATATAAAAAGGCTACAGGAAAGGCAGAAGCCCAGGAAACACTTCTGGAAAAACAACACCACAAAGGGATCATGAAGTGACTGGTATCACCAGACAGAATGCTGCAGGGGAAAGTTCCCTGAACTTGGGGTATGAAGAGCTGGATGACACTTAGAGCTTTGCCACTTACTGTGTGACCTTGATTGTGCAAGTCACCTTACCTCTTTGAAGCTCAGTTTACTCAACTAAAAAAATGGGGATAAACATGCGTGCACCACCTTCTTCACAGAATTGTTGTAAGGAGAAGTGCCATGATCAGCATTTAACAAACACATCTTTTTTTTCGGTGAGCTAGTTGGGGTTAAGTGACTTGCCTAGAGTCACACAGCTAGTAAATGCCAAGTGTCTGGTAAAAAATACATCTTCTAAGATGGGAATCCCATGTGTATAAGCTATATATTAAAGTTAACATCTTTCACTCTGATGATTGTCACCTTGTGATGGTTTGTACATGTTACAGTTGATTGAGCCGAGAAAAAAATCCAGTCATCTAATTAAGATGGAGCTTCCCACAAAGCATTTCCATTAAGTTTTTCTTAAAATGTAGTGATGTTCCATGGAACATTACATTTATTTCTAAGTTTATTATAAGATAAAAGGGGCAAAACTTTGCGGCAAATTTCTATGATAAGGTCTGAAAAGAAAAAATATATAGGAAACTGATACAGATATATAAGAACATGAGCCATTCCCTGTCAGATTAATGATCAAAGAATATGAACAGGTGGTTCTCAAAAGAGAAAGGCAGGCTATAATAAACCTGTGAAATGATGCCCCAAATCAAAGATGTGAAACACATAGTCACATATTGTGCAAACAACACTCCCAAATGGGGCCATAATTAGATAAAATACATATAATTGGGAACAACTTTTAAAAGGAAACTAAAATATAATAAAACATAGATAATTTTAATATGTGATTTTGTAAGTCAATAGGGTCAATGGAGATCCTTGCATACAGTTTAATGGCGTCTGTTTAACACCATTGCTCCAGTTAATAGTGAGTTGTCAATTGCCAACATTTATGAAGTACCTTCTATGGGCCAGGCACTGCACTAAGCACTGGAGAGGTCCGTCCAAAAAAAAAAAAGGCAAAAGATAGCCCCTGCCCTCAAATCTAATGAGTTAATAAGAAGGGTAAAAACATAAACAACTCCTCTCAGATTGACAAAGAGGACCAAAAAGGAAACTGACACTTGAGAGAGGGGCAGTGGAAAGTGAGACACAGTACCGGACTGTTTGTGGAGCCAACCATTCTGGAAAATGCTTCAGAAGAAAACCAAAAGAGTCACTACACTGTGCAAATGTCTTCACTGAATGATAGCACTAGAAGGCCTATTTCCCCCTAAAACATCAAAAGCAGGGAAAGGATCCGAATGCCAAAAATATTTATAATATCACTTTTTGTCATAACAAAGAACTGACAATACAATGGATACCCATCAATTGACGAACGGCTGAACAAATTGTGGTATGTGTACCTTGTACATTATTACACCACAAGAAGTGATGAACCTGAAAAGGCTTGTATGAACTAATGTAGACAAAAGTGAAGAAAACAAGAACAATTTTACAAAGGGATATCACAACAATGAGAAGGAATACAACTGTGAAGGAGCTTTGATCAATGCAGTGATCACTTAGGACTCCAGAAAACTAATGACAAAGCACACTTTCCACCTCTTGGCAGGGAGATGACATACTGCAACTGCAGAATGAAACTTATACTTCCAGACATGACCAATCTGTGACTTGTTTGCTTAATTGTATTTGTATGTTACCAGAGAGAACTTTAATGGGAGAGGAGGAAAGGACAAAAGGATGGGAAAAAGTGGAACTGCCCTGCTTACTGGTTTTCCTTTCTGAACCTCCTTCTATATTCTTCTTTGTATTTTTAAAATGTTTCATTGTCATTCTTTTCTATTCCTTTCGGTATCCTTAGGAATACCTGAGGGTATTCCAGGTGGGAAGAGGAATCAAGGAGATGTGGTCTGGAATTATTTTCCAAAAATATGTTTCATATGCCTCAGATCCCCAAGACAGATCTATGAAGTAAATATTATCTCCATTTTGCAAAGTGTGAAGCTAAAATCATAGCAGTTAAATGACTCATCATAAGCCACCAAGTATAGCACAGAGAAGATGAGAACCTGCTGCTCGTGATGCTCAGTCCAACTTTTATGTGAACAGAAACCACAGAAACCTGAAGACCTCCAGTGATGAGAAACTCCCTCCCTCATAAGAAAGCCCACCCTACTTCTGAAGAGCTCTCTCTGTTATTATGTCTTTCTTGCATGAGGCATAAATCTATCTTTCCACAGTTTGTATGTATTGCTTCTGGTTCTGCCTTCTGGGTCCAAATCTAATCCCTCTTCCATATGACAGCCATTCAAATCCTTGAAGATAATCACCATGTTCCTCTACCACACCTTCTGTTTGCTTGGTTGAAAATCCTCAATTTTTTTCCAGTTCACTCCCCATCTTGCCCCACTCCCCTTGATACACTTAAGCATTTCAACTCCTTCATAAACGGTGACATCCAAGCCTAACTCCAAGATGTGGTCCAACCAAGGTAGAGAATATTGGGATTGTCACCTCCTTATTCCTGGAAGTTTTGCATAAAGTAAAGTGGAAAAGTAAGATTATCTTTTCCAAAGTCACACAGCTTCTCTTATTTTGAACCTTACGATTCTATTAAAACATCTTCACATTAAATTCCCCTCTTTATTAATAACAGCATCAACAACAACCGCAAGGAATCACATTTATGTTTCTCTTTGATGTCTGTGAAGTCCTTTCTTTGCCACAATTTGCCAAAGTAGGTGACACAAGTATTAGAATTCCCATTTTATAGGTGAGGAAACTAAGGCCCAGAAAGACTGGGTGACTTGCCTGTGGCACAATACCTAGAATTTGAACTCAGGTCTCCTGCATCTGAGTCCAGCTGTCATGTTGCCATTCTGACTCCCATTGAGCTTACTATCTAAATTCCTCTCCTGAGACAGAGGAGAAAAAAACACACAAAAGCCACAAAGGACAGACTGACTTTCTATATGAAGAAGTAAACAAAATGACACCTTATGACTAAGCAGACTGCACAGAATCACTTACCATTGTGCTTTACGAAGGCTGACTTCCACAGAACAGATGTTCCGCAGAGAATTTAGCGCAGCTGAGAGTCGAGTCAATAGTGTATGGTATAACGGGAGAGACACAGTAGTAATGGGACCAGAGGCAATCTAAAACTTATTAGGAAATATAAACCATGCTTGGGCGTCCCAGGAGGCCTGTGGCCAACCCAATAAGAGGCTGGAGAAAGAAAGATGAAAGTCCTTGATTGTTGCAGAAATCTTACAAGCTATTATCTTTGTAAGAAAAATGCAATGTTCTTCTCTTCTTCCCCTGCTGCTCTTCCCAGGGTGCTCTGATTCAGAGAGTATGTCTCAATTGTTTGTTTTCAGTAGTGTTATATACTATCGTTTCAGTCCACTGAAAGCAAACAAGATCAAATCCAAAGACAATCCCCTTAATATTAGTGCCTTCTTTCTGTTGCTCATCTCCAAATTACCTTGGGTAGATAGAGATGGAGATATTTGTATGTTTGTATGTATGTATATGTAGTGTGTACATGTAGATTTACATACAATACATGCATATAAACATGTTGTTATTATCCTTCATTCTTGAAGAAGACCAAAATGACATCTCTATGTTAGAATCAAGTTACAGTGTATCCTACTGTGGATGATCAGGTCATTACAAGCTCAGAACGCTCTTCCACAGTTGAGCACAAATAGTTCATGTGAACATTTGGGGTGGATTCTCTAAATTTGTGCATTTTGTGTTCATTTTGAGCTACTTCAATTCTGATTTGTTCATAGAGCACAGGGGCACATCATGCATGGAAGTCCAGTGCTGGTGTCCACCATATCACCCAATCAATTGTGAATTTTTTTTTAAGGCAACTGGGGTTAAGTGACTTGCCCAGGGTTACAGCTAGTAAGTGTCAAGTATTTGGTCTGAGGCCAGATTTTAGCTCAGGTCCTCCTAACTTCAGGGTAGGTGCTCTATCCACTGCACCACCTAGCTGCCCCTTTTGATCTTGTTCTATGTTTGATCTTGTGTTTTTGTCTCATGGAGTTACTGACTTCTGTTTGGTGTCTATTCTAATTTTGGGATTTTTTTTTGGCTAGGCAATGGGGTTAAGTGACTTGCCCAGGGTCACATAGCTAGTAAGTGTTATGTGTATGAGGCTGGATTTGAACTCAGGTCCTCCTGAATCCAGGACTGGTGCTCTATCCATTGGGCCACCTAGCTGCCCCCTTGAATTCTTATTGATTGAGGGAAGGCCTCTACAGAAATCCAATCCTGATACCTCATTGGGACATGGAGGCAGAGGGCTGATGGAGTCAACTTGAACAAACTCCTGTGAGTTGATTGTTAACTTTTCACCTTTACACCTGGGAAAATGCAAAAAGTACAAAGCAGGACTGGATTTACTGTTTTCTTGATAGTCTAGATTTAAGAAAAGGATGGAGAAATTATAAATAATACAGAGTAAGCATAAAAGTGGGTCATGAGTACAGTAGTGGCAGAAAAGCTTGTGTAATGGAAAACTATCCATATAGGCACTCAATAAATATTTGCTGAGTGAATGAACGAGTATCGGTGCCTCTGCTCAGTACGCTGAGGGTACTAGGTATTCTCATGAAACAATCAGCAGGCTCATCCTAAGATTAAAGAGGCCAGGGAGGAAGTCCTGGTGTCATTAAAGAGAAAGGTGTCTGACTTGTACATTTAAAGTCACATATTTAACATGTTGGAACAATCTAAAATGGTGTGTCTGAAATGATTAATTTATTTGTGGATTAAAAAGAGAAAAAAAATCAACTTTCAAGATGAATTAATGTAAAAATTCCTCCCCTCTCATTTTTCAGAGAGTCTGACTTTAAACTGAAGTTACAAAACTTAGAGAGTGCTCAAAGTCCCGAAGGTGGAAGGGACCTCAGAAGCCAACTTGCTCTATGTGCCCCTGAGCAGAAATGAGCCCTGAACATCCTCTCTATCTAGCCTCCAGTGAGGATGAGATCACCTCCTCTTGGGGCACCCCTATCCATTCTGGGAAAGCTCTAAGTATTAGTAAATTTTTTCTTTCATTGAGCATAACCCTGCCTCTCTGTACCTTATGCTCACTGCAGAACTCACTAGTTCTGACATCTGGGGCTAATCAGAAAAAGTCTAATCCCTCTTCCATTTAGCACCACCTTCAAATACATGAAGAGCTATCATGTCCAGCCTTCTGCTTCAGAGTAAACACCATCAATTCCTTCAGAGGGTCCTTATGTGACATGAGTTTGTGTCCCTTTACCATGCATTTCTCGAGAAATACTGTGAGGTTTTGCCTGTTGCTGGGCCCTAGCTGGCAAGTTGGATTCTATGTTTGACCACTGATTGACCTGCCTGTCTCAGCACTTATTGACCTGGGAAGTTCCTATGCTCCCAACAATTGCCTTGGTTGATGACACAGAGTTAGGAATGTGAGGTTAGCAAACTTCATCTAATCCAGGAGTGTAAAGTTAGCAGACTTTTCTTGTCACAATGTTCTTGTGATGGAGCATGCTGCGAGCGCCTGCATCCGTGGCATTGTTCTGATGCTGGCAGAGGGTGAAGAGAGAAAGAATCCCGGGCCAGGTGGAAGATGTGAAGAACAAACTTCGTTTATTGATCTGAGGGCTCAGGCTTATAGAGTACTGGATCAAGCAACAGTAACATTATTATCCATGAAAAGCACAAACCTAATTAAGTGATTTCCTGACTTCCTTGTACCTTGTCTGTTACTTTCTTTCCTGCGTCCTGTCCTGTACCCTATCCGTTTCCTCCCTTCCTGCATCCTGTTCTCAAGAGACGGAACAGGGGGGTGGTGAGCCACATCCTGAGTTTCACAGCTGTCAGGCTTAGTACAAACTACAGGTAAGACCCGGGCTGGCCTAAGCCCTCCAACTCTCTAAAGCTGGCCCTCTACAGAAGCAAGTGGGTCTCAGTCCAGACCACCTCAGGGCCCCCTCCCACTCAGGCCCTGTGAATTAGCCCAGCAACAACAATCAGCTATAAAGACAGTGACCCAGGAGATGTGGGATCTTGAAGGGGATGCACTGCCTAAGCCCCTGAGGCATATCTATGGGACTGAAGAGTGAGGAGCCACACACTCACATACCTGTCAGTAATAAACTGCCTGAGCTATGATCTTTCCTTCCTGGTACCTCCTCACCAAACCATAATTTACTCTGAACTTAGCTGACAGCCAGGAAAAGAAGCTTGAGGTCATTGTCAACTCATATGCTGTGGATATTGGCCTAGTTTTCCACTGCTGCCAAAACTGTTAGCAGGTGTCAGGCCTAAAATGCTCATTGTAGAGGTGGCAAGCAGATGGAACATTTCCAATAAATATAAGCACAGAGTGGGTTAACCTTAAGGTAACCTGTGACCTAAATGACACTTGTCTCTGCCTCCATCAATCACCATAGTCTCTCTCTATCTCCTCCCTTCTCTGAAGTCCAACGTCACTACTGCTGCCCAGGGAACCCAACTGTGATGACCCAACTAAGGTCAGCTCTGGGCCTCTTCCTGATATGAAAACTTGCTGTCCTGGCCACATTCCCACTGAGTCCCACTCTTACTGAATTGTTCTACTGGGGAGCAAGGTGTGGGGAAGAAGCATTTGTATAGCAACTAGTATCTGATAGCTACTATGTAAAAGCCTTTTTATTAACATTATCTCATTTGATCCTCATAAAAATCTCATGAAGTAGGTACTATTATTAACCCCATTTTAGAGTTGGGGAAATCTAGGCAAACAAAGGTTAAGTGACTTGCCCATGGTCACACATCATTTGTCTGAGGTCAGATTTGAACTCAGATTTTCCAGACTTAGCACTTTATCCATGTCCCACTAACTGCTTCATAAACAGCTGTAACCTAAAATGAGACAAAAGTGAAACAGTGCCCTCCCTCAAGGAGCTGATAGCCTCCTAAGGGGAATAGTGGAAACATAAAAATGCATACATTCACACTGATACAGGAGGAAATCATGAAATGCTTCTGGGAGAAAGGGACACCTCTGACCTTTGAAAGGAGGGGGAGAATTTCCAAAGATCGAGGTGAGAAGGGAAAGCATTTCATGCACAGGTGGGGGACAAGAGCCTCACGCAAAGGCTTGAAGGCAGGAGATGGGAAACTGCATCTAGGGAAACTTTTCTTTGGAAACAATGGTGGATTATTATGGAGAAATTCAGAATGTTTGAGAAGATGCCCCTAACTTGTTGAGGGATGTATCATGGAGGATGACCAAGTTGTCAGAAAACATCCCTTCATGGCATTGCCAGAGCCAGAATCCTGGACCACATGGGACAATCTCTCAGATCCATTGGACTGATTCTTATATTTTAATATTCTTGCAAGGATAGTGCAAGGCTATTTAAGTGGGATGGAAATTTAATCCAGCATACATTTAATAATTCATACTGCATCACTATTTCCAGTTGGCACCTGCCCTCTGGTTATACAATACTATTTTTTCATTTTCATGTGTCCTATTTCCTCTTGGCTGTTATTGTACAATCATTACAATTTCCCTCTACTGTACATACAGAGAGAGAGAGAGAGAGAGAGAGAGAGAGAGAGAGAGAGAGAGAGAGAGAGAGAATCTTGACCTGATTTCCTTCAGGAGCAACGGTCCCTTGCAAGAGAGAGGCTGCTAAGACACAATGGTAAGTAACAGGTTCCATCTTTGAAGGGAAATGAAGACATATTACTCAGTTTTTGTGAGGTAGGAATTTGGGCTTCTCCTGAAAGTTGTCAAGTTCTCAATGGGGTTGTTTGTTGAATTTCCTCATGGGCTCACTGTAGAGAGACAGTAAGGTGTAGTGGACAGGAAGCAGGGCTAAGAGGCAGGAAGCTCAGGGTTCAAGTCCTACCTCTCATATATCCTACTTGTCTGTTTTCCACTTAACTCTCTAGTTCTAAATGTGGCAGAGGAGTCATCTCTCTGCCTTGGTAGAGACAGTTCCACCACTGGAGCCCCAACTTCCATTAAATCAGAGATATGTTCTTTTTTTAATCTCAATTGTAAACTGTTAGTTGTCTCAATACTGCCATACCCAAAGTGCATTGTCATGTCCCCTCCTGGCTGCTGACTTCTATTCAACCATGTCAGCAGCAGGCTACCCCCTTTCCTAATATGACTGCAGCCAAAGTTAGGCAATACTCTGTGCCAACATCACTATCCCTGTCATTTTCACCATTACCCTCCAAAACCTCTTTCCCTTCCAAATGAATTTTCCCCAGGTACAAGAATTCAGTCTTGCATTTTGCTTTAAAAATGGTGGCATATGAATAGAATGGAACAGTATTGTCCTTTAAGAAATGACAAATATGAAGAAACAGAAATATGGAAAGACCTGAATGAACTGATACAGAGTGAAGAAAGCAGGCTCAGGAAAACAATGTACAAAATTAGTATGATGATGTAAATGGAAAGAAAAATAAATCTTCTGAACTCAAATGAAATGCAATAAGCAATTTTGTTTTTAAGGGATAGGAGACAAAAAGTATTTATTAATACTAAGTAGCATTAACATGCTATTATGCAATATGGTCTATACAGTAAGAACAGCTAGCATTTATATTCCATCTACTATGTGCCACGTATTGTGCTAAGTGCTTACCAATCATTATCTCCTTTGATCCTCACAACCCCCCTGGGAAGTAGGTGCTATTAGCTCCATTTTACAATGCAGGAAACTGAGATAAGCAGCGGTAAAAAGTGACTTGCCCAAGGTCACACAATACTTGTCTCCACTTTTCAGAAAAGTGGGTGACCATGGACACAGAAGGTAAAATATACAGTGACTCTGTGGATATTTGGAGTCAGTATGACAAAGGCTTAAACCATGCTTCAGCCACTAAGTTGTGGTCTCTGAATGAGCCAGGGTCTTGTTAGGGTGTTGGCAAGGCCTCAGTTTCCTCAACTATAAAATGAGAGTGACCTCTAAGTTCCTTTATAGCTCTAAATTCATGATCCTGGGATCCTATGAGGCATAATTGTTTAATTGTGTTAGGTGGTTTTGCTTGACTATTTTAGGTAATAATAGCACTTTTCCAACATTCTCTCATTTGATCCTCACAACAATCCTGGGAGGCTATCATTGTCCCCATTTCACAAATGGGGAAACTGAGGCAGACAGGCTAAGTGACTTGTCCAGGGTCACACAATGCTTGAGGCCATCTTGAACTCAAGTCTCCTTGAGTCCATGTTTGTTGTTTCATCTACTGTGCCCCCTCATTGACTTTGTGGTGGATTGCCAGGAAGAGGAACTCTGTATTGGACAATGGCTGTGGAATAAAATGGAAGAACAGATATAAAACGTGAAAAACCAAAAACTCTAGCCATTTCCCCCAACTACTTTTAATCTTAATCTTTTCTTTTTTTAAATAGAATACTATGCTAGTTGTTCTCCTTGCTTTGGCTCTCTTTGTGACATTTTGTGATGCTCAGTGCACATTTATTCCATTGGAGATCGTTAATGGGTATCAACCAGGAGGTAAATCTTTGTTTACAGCTGTTTCCTGTCTCTAGGTTCAGGAGGATTTGTTTAGCAGTACAAGTGATTGGGGCAAGCTTGAATGGCCTATCTGTGTCCATTAGAGCCAAGATGGGTGTAGTGGACAAAAGGTGGGAAAAGTCGATTTAATCTAAATATGTGCCTTAGATGGAAAAAAGAGGCAGCTGTCTAAACATATATGTAAGATCCTTCCCCCAATATCTCCTTTATATCACACAATTAAGAGTCACTCCTTATCATCTTACATATGATATGTTTCTGAGTGGCTACATGCATTAGTGGTTAGTGAGCTAGGACTGAAATTTGGAAGATCTGGGTTTAAATTCCGCTTCTGACATTGACTGGCTTTGTGATGCTGGGCAGATCAATAGCCCTTTCTGTGCCTCAAGCATTTACCTACTTAGTCAGTCACTCAATTCATCAAGCATCTATTAAACATCTACTGTGTGCAAAACATTGTAGCTACAAAGGTAAAACTAATCATGGAAAGAAAAGAAACCCTAAAAAAAGTCCTCCCTTCATGGAGCCTTTGTCCAACTACTGATCTGTGAACACATATCTTCCAAAGTAGAATATTGAATGTTTCCAATTATCACTCTGAAGGCTTGGGGAATGAGTTAAGGGCTGTTCTTTTTTTTTTTTTATTAATTAATTTATTTTTAGTTTTCCACATTCACTTCATAAACTTTTGAGTTCTAAATTTTCTCCCCTTCCCTCTCCTCCCTCCTCAAGACAGCGTGTAATCTGATATAGACTCTACATATACATTCCTATTAAACATATTTTCACAATAGTGATGTTATAAGGAAGAATTAGAACCATAGGGAGAACCACAAGAAAGAAGAAACAAAACAAAACAGAAGGGGGGGAAAGCAAATAGTATACCTAAATCTGCATTCAGGAACTATAGTTCTTTCTCTGGATGTGGACAGCATATTTCATCATGAGTCTTTTGGAGATGTCTTAGATCCTTGTATTGCTGAGAAGAGCTACGTCTATCAGTCATCACAAAATGTGGCTGTTACCATGTACAATGTTCTCCTGGTTCTGCTCACTTCACTCATCATAAGTCCACACAAATCTTTCCAGGTTTTTCTGAAGTCTGCCTGTTCATCATTTCTTATAGCACAACAGTATTCCATTACATACACATATGAAAACTTGTTCAGCCATGCCCCAATTGATGGGCATCCCCTCAATTTCCAATTCTTTGCCACCACAGAAAGAGCTGCTATGAATATTTTTGTACATGTGGGTCCTTTTTCAATTTTTATGATCTCTTTGAGATACAGCCCTAGAAGTGGTATTGCTGGGACAAAGGGTATGCACATATTTATAGCTTTTTGGACATAGTTCCAAATTATTCTCCAAAACAGTTGGATCAAGGGCTATTCTTGACTGAATAGGTTGTAAAGCATTGGAGGAGTTGCCAAGGGAAATGGTAGAGCCTCTTTTGGAGCTCTTCAAAAGTGGCTTAGAGTTTCTAATTTTATGACAGTTTCACATTGTGCCATTCAAGGCGGCTTTAAGGACTTAGTAAAATCTGTTCTAAAGGTGTCAATTGCAATTTCACAAAAGATTTTTCATATATTCTGTCTTAGGTTGCAGCGATGGGAAGGGTACAATACATAGTTTCGGCACTCAGTGGCAATCTAATTGTGTACATTGTTCATGTGAAGAAAGAGTTGGACTATCCTGTTGCAACATGTGAGTACAAGGCTGGCCCTAAATAGACAGATGTAAAATGACAGAATCGTCAAGCTGGAATGGACATCAGGGCCTTTGAAGTAGAACCCATCTGGAAACTACAAACCCCTACTCAACAAGTGGCCATTGGGAAATAGTTTGAAGGCACTCAGTGAGGGCAGCTCCTTCTCCTTCTAGAGAGTTCTCATGGTTAAGAAGCTTTTCTCCCATTGCACTTAATTAAAAACAGACTCTTCTCAGTTTCCATCCCCAGCTCTCAGCTCTGCCCCGAGGCCAAGCAAGCTGAAAAAGTATATTCCCTCTTCCCTGTGACAGAAGTTTCCCTTCTTCAGGCTTTGCTTCCTGTATTGATCCTTTTATGACACTGATTTTCATTCTCTCCATTTTTGTTATCCTGTGAATGTGCCCCAGATGATCAATTTCCTTCCTAGAAGGTTATTCCCTGAACTGGACCTGATATTCTGGATGTGATCCAATCAAGAAAGAGTAGAGCAAGACTTTAACCTCTCTAGAGGAAACACTGCATGGAGCATTGAGCTTGGTGTTGGGAAGACCTGAGTTCAAAACCTTCCTCAGACACATCCATGTTATCTGTGTGACTCTGGGAGAGTCATTTGACTTTTGTGAGCCTTTGTTTCCTCCTCTCCATTAAAAAAGGTTTTGACCTTGATGACTTCTAAAGTCCCTTCCAGTTTGAAATCTAGGGTCTATGACACTTTTCTATTAAAATCTCATCTCATAACCTGATTGTCTGTGTGATCGTGGGCAAGTCACTTGACCAGTCTCAGCCTCAGTTTCCTCATCTGTTAAAAGAAGAAGGGTTTAGACTTGGTTACTTTTAATGTCCCAGTTTAAAATCTAGAATCTGTTATCCTTTTCTATTTAAATCCAAGATCAGAAACTTATTAGCCATGTGACCTTGGGTTTAGTGCAAGCTAACAAGCACCTAGGACTTAATGTGTTCTCCATCTATACTTGTGAGTAGATTGAGATAGCTCATTGGGTGGTTGGAGAGAACAGGTGATTCACAATCAGAGGCTGTCTGAAATAAGGGCATGAATCTCAATAAATTATTCATCAGTTCCCAAGGACCACCCTAATCTTTGCTCAATTTTCTTCTACCAACAGAGTGATGAGGCCTATGGGATATGATAAAAAGCAATGCACAGAAGTTTTCAAACAGGAGTCCTGTATTTACATTCCTGTAAATAAAGCTAATCCCTCGAGATACTGTGAAGTCAAAATGTATGTAGGTTAACAACTCCACCTCCTCCTCCAGATGTTGCTGCCAAAGTCATTGCATCCCACTGGAATTTATCAACGCTTGAAGCAATTGCCCTTTCCTTGGAATTCAGAAGAGGAGGGGTTGGATACCATGTAGGCATTACCTTGGATCTTCACTCTATTCAAAGCATTGTCAAGTCTTAGGCACATTAATTCAAACCACAAAGTGCCATCTCTGTGGCTTCTGAGATTCTCCAGGCACAATGTCATACCTTCTGTAACCTGCCATCTGATGAATGCCCAAAGAAAATATATTGTCCTATAGCATGAAATGGATCTGTTCTTTTCCTTTTGAAAAATCAATGTCTAAATTCATTATAGAAGTGCAGTCTTTCTCTGGGGCAATTCCTAGGAATACACTTTGGACTCAAATACTCCATGCTTTTCAGCTTCTGTTCATCTCCCAAATCTCTGTTTAAAAATCCTAGGACTTCAATCCTGGAAGAATTAAGATTACAAATAACCCAAGGAGTAATGGAAAGATACCTAACAGGTGCAAGGTGGCATATTTACCAGTGATAATGACTTTCAGTTGAGTAATATCACAAAATATATCAAGCATATATATGGTGGAGAGAATGGGGAGGTTGCGCAGTCATACAGTGAGAATGAGAGATAACAGAAGGACAGCCTAAGCATTTCATTGGTATCCTTGAAATAATAATTGAATGAGACTATATTGCCCCTCTCACTCTAAGACTAGGACAGCCTTAAAGCCGGGGAAGATTATATAAAACTCCCACCAACATAGTGTGATATTATATAAAAATGATGTATTTAATTTCAGAGAACTTGAGTTCAAATCTTTCAATAATCAATCAAAACCATTTCTTATATACTTACTATAAATCAATCAACAAGCATGGATTAAACTCTTGCTATGGGCCAGGTACTGTGCTAAGTTCTGGGATTAGAAATAAAGGCAAAAATACCTATAGTATTCCCTCTGGAGCTCACTGTCCAAGCTCACTTGGTACTAACAAGTTTCGCTTCCTAGAGGAAAGAACATTATGTCTTCCCTCAGGTTTCTAGGGTTGTCTAAAGGCTCACAGTTTCTATTGTTGTTCATGAGCCCCTATCTAGGGTGTCCTCCCATATCAATCACCAGTAAGACTATCAGCTTTTAGAAAGGGCATTTACTGAGAAGGCATAATAACAACAATAGTTAATAAAACATTATACCAATGATAAGTAGTATTTATCTACAACCAACAGCAAGTATTATCTAAAATGGGGATAAGCTAGAAACCCTCCCAGTAAGATCAGAGGTGAAGCAACTATGCCTATTATCATATCTATCATTCAGTATTGTACTTGAAATGCTAGCTATAGTAGTAAGACAAGAACAAGAAATTGAAGGAATTAGAATAGCCAATAAGGAAACAAAATTATCATTCTTGGCAGATAATAGGAAGGCATACTTGTAGAATCCCAGACAATCAACTAAAAAAACTGGTTGAAATAATTAACAACTTTAACAAAGTTGCTGGATACAAAATAAACCCACAGAATTCATCAACATTTCTGTATATTACTAACAAAGTTCAGCATAAGGAATAAAAAGGGAAATTCTATTTAAAATAACTGTAGATGATATCAAATTCTTGGAAGTCTACCTGCCAAGACAAACCCAGGAACTATATGAACACAAGTATGAAACAGTTTTCACGTGACTAAAGTCAGATCTAAGCAACTGGAAAAATATCAATTGTTAATGAGTAGGTGAAGCCAATACAACAAAAAGGACAATTCTAGCCAAATTAATATAGTTATTCAGTGCTTTATGAACCAAACTACCAAAAATATTATATAGGGCTACAAAAAGCAATAATAAAATTCATCTGGAAGAAGAAAAGTTCAAGAATATCAAGGGAATTAATAAAAATAATGTGAAGGAAAATAGCTTAGCTGTACCAGATCTCAACCTGTATTGGAAGACAGTAATCATCACAAAAAATCTGGTATTGGCTAAAAAATTCAGTGGTGGTTCAGTGAAATCGATTAAGTACACAATACACAGTCAAAAATAACCATAATAATCTTCTGTTTGACAAATGCAAAGATCCATACTTCTGGGACAAGAACTCACTATTTGACAAAACATGATGGAAAAACTGGAAAACAATATGGCAGAAACTAGGTAGAGAGCAATACCTCGTAACGTATTGTTAGGTAAGGTCAAAATGTGTTTGGACATAAAAGGTGATACCATGAATAAACTGGGGGAGTGTGGAATAGTTTACCTGTCAGATCTACGGATAAAATAAGATTTTATTATCATACAAGGTATAGAGCACATTATAAAGTATAAATGGATTTTTTAATTTTATTGAATTAAAGAGTTTTTGCTCAAATAAAACCAATGCAACCAAGATTAGAAGGAAAGCAGAAAATGGCAGGGGGAGGCAATTTTATAGCAAGTGACTGACAAAGACTTCATCTCTCAAATATAGATAACTGAGCCAAATTTTTATTAATATGCATCATTACCCAATTGATAAATGGTCAAAGGACATGAACAGGCAGTTTTCAGATGAAGAAATCAAAATTATCTGCAGTCATCTGAAAAATATGTTCTAAATCATTATTGATTAGAGAAATACAAATTAAAACAACTCTGAGATACCACCTCATACTTATTGATTTAGCTAACATGACAGAAAAGGAAAATGACAAATGTTTAAGGGGATGTAGGAAAATCTGGTAGAGTTCTGAACTGATCCAACCATTCTGGAGAGCAATTTGGAACTATGCCTGAAGGGATGTAAAACTATGCATACCCTGATCCAGCAATACCAGTACTAGGTCTTTATCCCAAACAGATTTTTTTTAAAAAAAAGAAAAGGAAAAGGGTCTATACGTACAAAAATATTTATAGCAGTTTTTTTTATGGTGGCAAAGATTTGGAAATGGAGGGTATACCCCTCAATTATGGAATCGCCAAAACATTCATGGTATACAATTGTGATGGAATGCTACTGTGCTATAAGAAATGATGAGCATGTGCTTTCAGAAAAACCTAGAAGGACTTACACGAACTCATGCACAGTGAAGCGAGCAGAACCAGGAGAATATTGTACATGTAAACAGCAATATTGGGTAAGGATCAGCTGTGAATGACTTAGCTATTCCCAGCAATACAAAGATCCAAGACAATTCTTTTTTTTTAATGTTTTATCTTCCCACAATTACATTTAAAATAATTTTAACCTTACTTTTTAAAAAGTTTTAAATTTCAAATTCTATCCTTTCCCCCCTCCCTGAGATAGTAAGCAATCTGATATAGGGTATAAATGAGCAGTCATGTAAATCATATTTCCATATTAGTCATTTTGTGGAAGAATAAGGAAGGAAGGAAGGAAGGAAGGAAGGAAGGAAGGAAGGAAGGAAGCAAGGAAGGAAGGAAGGAAGGAAGGAAGGAAGGAAGGAAGGAAGGAAGGAAGGAATGTTTAGGTATTTAGAGTGATCGAGATGGGGCCGGGAAACTTGAGTTCCAGTATTGCTTCCATCACTACTTAGCCTAAGATACTTAATACTGTCACACTAAGCAAGTCATTTAACTTTGGTGAACCTCAGTTTCCTTATTTGTAAAATGAGAGGAGATAGAGTCAATTATGGACTTCATATGTGTTCGCTTCTTCCCTCCACTTCTGGCTCTCCAGATTTCTTTCTCCACCATGACTAGTAGTCTTCTCACCCTGGAATTCACTGCATCCCAGAAGCCTTGACACTGGAAGATACTTTTTCCCCTGTGCCTTTTTCCTCTAGCCTCCATTTTAAGGAAAATACCCTAGCCAGCTGTAAGACAAGAGCCACTGGAGCTTTGGGGCTCCAGCTTCTAGCAGGTTCACTCTTGATCTGGACAGCCAGAAGGACAGGAATGGAGACATAACAAGAAGTTATTTAATTACTTTATTCTTAAGGGGGTTGCTGATAATGGGAGCACCAACTCTTTCAGCGTCCTCTAATTACTTTTCTTGCAGGGGCCGGTGAGAATACAGTACAAGCTCCAAGTCCTACAGCATTCTTTAAGCCTCAATGGGGGCCAGTCAAGGCACACACAACATTCCAGCTTGTGCATTTCCCCTAAGCCTCAATGGGGGCCAGTTGAGGCAAACATAGCATTACATTGTCACATTCCCCACTTACTGACCACTGCTCTCTTAATTTATAGAGGAGTATACAAAGGAGGCAATTTGCCAGCAATAGCCTCACAGGTTTACATCAATTTTAGCAATATCATGATGAATCAGCGTAACACAGGTGCAGACGATGTTTGCAATTTAAGAACAAATGTTTACATAATCTCAGCACTATATTTCACTGCACAGTCGCAGTAGAAATTTTTTATTACCATGGATCCTGGAACTAGTATCTGGGATCCTGGGAACTATCATCTAAAAAAGAATAACACAAGCCACCTTACATACACCAGCTGTGTTCATTCTTTCATTCCTCTCTGAGCTTCCCTCCTGACTCTCTGGATTTTGCACTGTACCATGCTCCCGAATAGGCAACTTTTTTTCCCCATCCCCTAGCATCAAACTTTTCAGCTCCCTTTTATGTGTGGTCTCCCCACCCACTCCCCACCCTGTAGAATGTAAGCTCCCTCAGAGCCAAGAATGTCTTTCTTTTTGCTAGCATTTGTGTTCATTCCCCTGTACCTGGCACACAGTAAGTGCTTAATAAATGCTGTGTCACCATACACAAATCATTTAATCCTTTCTGAGTCTCAGTTTCCTCATATGTAAAATGAGGCAGTTGGACTAATAGCTTCTGAGATTTCTTCCAGCTCTAAAATCTATTATTTAAAGGCAAAACTAGTGTGTCAATAATAAGGAAAAAAATCTTCTGATTGGGACATTGTAAGCTGTGCAGAAGAGTAATCATTAACTGGAGTAAGAGAAAATGAGTCTTGAATTAGGTAAAGCAATTCAAGTGATGTAAAGGTCAGATTGGCTAATTACAGGAGTGATTATAGGGTCCTGGTATCTAAGAAATGAGAATGATAGGAGACTTGGAACCAATCAGAAGCCTAAGCTTAGGGTTTCTGCTGACATGTAAGACAAAATTCAAGGAATACTATGGAGTTGACTTAAGTTATCAAAATTATTGAGTTATCAAAACTCGAATTGATCCCTGGAAACTTAAGTCTTTCTGGTTTTTATTAATCTTATTTAATATTTTATTTCCCCCCAATTACATGCACAATTTTAATATTCTTTTTTATTCTCTTCTTTCCCACCTCTCCCCT